CTTCCCCAATGTCTACCTAATGGAAGTCTGCATCCATGCATACTCTGACCCAAACCTGCTCCTTTCCATAAACAGTCTCCTCAAATTATAATGATTTACTCACTGGGCATTCTATGCAAATGTCTCCTCCAAGAATGCTGTTTCCCTATCTATGTCTGAGTCCTATCTGTCCATTAAACATCAACTACTTGGTGAAGTCTTTCCTGAATGCTCCATCCAAGTAGGATTTCTCTCATCCCCCAAATCTGACAAAAATATTGCTCTTATTAGCAATACTATTCATACAATCTATTTGCTTGTCTATATTGCTATTCATATTTTTTAAAAATATTCAATTTAAGGCTTTAAGTATATTCTGTTTTGAAAATATCAGTGCTAACACCTGTGAATGTAATATTAAGAACATATCTCTACCTTAATTGTCCTTGTAACTGGTAGAGTCAAAATATGAAACAAATGTCTATACTAACATGGACAAAGAGGCCACTACTCTTTCAAGAACTTCCTTCAGACCTTCCTAACTGGATGCAAACTTTCCTTCCTTTTAACCTCCACAACAATTTGTTTACTCTTTTCTTTGACTTTTGAACTGACTGTAAAGAGCTGGTGAGATCTGGGGGACAGGATATAGCTAGAAAAAATACTGCAATTACATCATGAAGAGAAATTATATTGTAATAGACAAAAACAAATAAAAGCTTTGTAGGAACAAACCTAGATTCGAATTCTGGATTTTGGTACTAGTTAACCAACTGATCTTATGAATGTCTCCCACTCTATCTGAGTTTATTTCTCTGTAAATGTGGATAATAAAGCATTCTTTGAAATGCCATGAGAAAGAAATTAAGAAATTTCCTATAAAGTACCATGTACATGCTCAAGATTATTTTCTATACTAATGTAAAGAATGTTGAGTTTGTATAGGTAATCAAAGAGGGAAAAGGTGAGTGGACCCAGAACTAGAAAGAAATTGAAATGACAATAAAAATGAGAGGTAAAAGAGAGATGGCAGACCAGGCTGGAAAATGAGGCTGGGGAAAGAAAAAAAGAAGGCTAAGGGGGTGGGCACGCCAGGGGATTTTCAGGAACAAGGATGCCTAAAGCTTAACTGCTTGGGATTTGCTGAGCTGTGACAAAATAGAACTCCCTTTCTTAACTTTAATCTCTTGATTCTTAAGTAACATTTCCAAAGCAAAGTGACTCTCTTCCTCATTTGGATGAATGCCCAGGAAGAATGGAAAAACCAATCCATATGAAGAGAGACATTAGAAAATTCAAAGAAAGTAAGAAATCAGAACAAGAGACAGCTAACGAAAACATAAGTCCTTGAGGAATGGTGATGGAGATTCCAAATGTATGTGGCATGGAATCTGGAACTAATGTTATTTATTTGTTAAAAGACAGTGAGACTAAGCACTCTGAACAACTTGGGACACCCAGGAAGGAGACATCTGGAAAACAGTAGCTAGATGGAACTATAATAGAAGAAGAGGTGTCAACAAAGACTGGAAGGGCTGAGCGAAGGAACTGCAAGACATGAGAAGTAACTAAAGTTACTAAGCTGAAAGCAGGATGGTGAACGTGCTGGATGTACGGGGTAGAAAGCCACAGGAAGAGAGGAGACCAATATGAAACTATTGCAATAACTGATAGAAAACAAAGGCCAATGCATGAGAATGCATATAAAGTAATAAACCCAAGCTCCAATATGGAAGTAAAATCTCCAATATCTAGCAGATTATATGTAAAATAGTGATATTTATTGCCAGATATTAGACTAGAAATTCAAGATTAGATAACTGGAATGATAGCATTATGTACAGAAGCATTATGTAAGTTTTATTTTACACCTCCACAAATGCTTGTACAACATACAGTAACTACTCTTAATATTTACAGCATTTTTTCCATAGCACAAAAAGAAAGAAAGGTTAGTGACACGCAGGTGTTGCTACAGTGACGCTGGGTGGAGCCCTCAGGAGCCCACTTTGTAAAGGAGGGCTGGGCGTTGCTGACATTTGGGTCCCTAGCAGCTGCTGGGAGATGCAGGTGAGCCCACTGAAGCAGAGGGTGGGGTCCCTGCACCTCTGCCAGGCTGCTCATCTGCTATCTATCAAGGAGGGGAGGGGACACCAGTGCTGGATTAAAGACACATTTCTGACATTGTCATATACACATTTGTTTCCCCTAACCATACCTGTTCCCCTAACCTAAGGCTGTTTGGTGCAAGGACTAGCAGAGTATGCCACATAAATGTTTCTTAATGACAGTCATCTATTGTGGGTACTATACATGGTCTCTTTTCCTCAGAAACAGAACCCATAATTTTTAGCTGGGCACATGGCTACCTAGAATAAACACTATATTTTTCAGTCTCCACTGCAGCTACATAGGCCTCGGAATTGTAAATAGGCCAACTGGATGTAGAAGAATACTTAATAAAGCAGGGTGTGTCTTTCTAATAGAACAAAACTCCATTATCCACGTAAGACTGAGAGACAGATGCCACAGAGTGATGGACAAAGGAGAGGGACGGGTTCCTTGGCAATTTCATGAAGTCACCCTTCCAGCTATAGACTGCTTACTTCCAGATATCCTTTATATGAGGGAATGATGCTAAGGGAAATAAGTCAAACAGAGAAAGAATTATCATATGATCTCACTCATATGTGGAATTTAAGAAACAAGACAGAGGATCATAGGAGACGAAGGGGAAAAAGAAAATAAGACAAACCGTAAGAGATTCTTAACTACAGGAAACCAACTGAGGGTCTCTGGAGGGGTGGGGGGTGAGGGAATGGGGTAACTGGGTGATGGGCATTAAGGAGGGCATTTGATGTAATGAGCACTGGGTGTCATATGCAACTGATGAATCACTAAACTCTACCTTTGAAACTAATAATACACTACATGTTAATAATTGAATTTAAATTAAAAAAAAAAGGAAAAAGAAAACTCCTATGTTATTTATCTTATTGTTATGTTGAGCCTTCTATTTTTTTGCGGTCAAATCTAATTATCTCTAATACAATTCCCTTGATCATTTCTGCTATTTTCTTCAGTTCTAGTTTTTCAAAGTTTATAAAAATCTTTAAATATACTTTTTTAACATTCAGAAATATTCTGAAATGCTGATAAAGCATTCTTCAAATTTGTTTGAAAAAAATTTTAATCTGATAAGTGGCATGTTAAAAACATCCCATAAATACAACATTGCTTACCACAGAGACTTATTGGAATATCAGATGTGTGATTGATATGTTTGTTAACCAAAGAAATCAACCAAAATTCTACTGAAAACAGTACTTATGGTGTGCAAGTCTTAGGCCAAGGTCATTTAGCAAAATGGAAGTTTGACTAGACCTGCAGATGATAGCTATGGTCCGCAAAGAAAAAGGGACTATCTATTCTTTCCATCTAATCTCAACAGGTCGTTGTGGGTACACAGAACATTAAAACAGAATTATATGGCATTTGCTTTTAATTATTTACATAAAGTCAAATATTTTTAGTATTTCATTGATAATTTATACTTCTCTACTTTTACCGTGAATTGCTTACATTGGACTGAGAACTATAAGCCTTCAGTTAATTAATTTTTAACTTATTTTTCTTGTGTGATTTTCTAATGTTTTCTTAAAACACAAAAGGAATAATATAACCCTAGAGCTATAAGTAAAAATCATTCACTCCAAACCCTCTGTTTCATAGATTAAGTGATCCAAAGAGACTAATGAATTAACTAAATATTTCTTAGAATAGTTCTTCATTCATTGATTCATTCATTCATGTATTAATCCATTCAACTACTATTTAATTCTTAGGCACAAAGCACTGGGCAGAGGGAGCTGTATCACAGTAGAAATAAGACTTGCCATCGGCATATTTTCAATTCAGTGGCAATAGAAATAAATCATCCAGATAACTAAAATACAGTGTAAATAAATGTGTTTTGAGCATTACTAAAAACAAAGAATCAAGGAGAGGAAAGGAGAGTAAGGAGTAGCTAGCAAAGACTTTGGGGGAAAAGTTGCATTTGCCTGTTCCTTAGGGGATTTGAGCAGGTGGAGATAGATGAATGGGCACTTCATACAAAAGGGGTGGCTTTCTTTTTAACTTGTAGATTGGATTTCAATATGAAATTTCTTCTTAAATTATTATAAATTACATTTGGGTGGGAAAGTAAAATCAAAGCATTCCTTAAGCCAGGAAGTGAGAACAGCAACTTTGGAAAGCTTGGCATAGTTAATGCTGCATTAAAAAGTGATGTTTATCAAGATACAAATGAATGCCCCTGAAGTTCAGCATCTGAAAGGCCAAGCAACCCCTCAGCATCTGGAGAAAATGAATGCAGTATGGCTTAAAAACAAACCAGGAGCTAGGATCCACTGCTCACAAAATACCATATATTAAATGACTGAAAAAGATGTCAGTAATAAGTTAAACAGTAGGGTTTCAATTTACAAGTGAAAATCCAGACCAATGTGCAATATCAAGGAAAATAATATTTCATTTTTGTTCACATTGCAATGAATTAAGCAGTCTAAGATACATATATTTAAACAGAAAGTGTTTAAAATGCAAATTGCATTTAGAAAAAAGTGATGGCAACTCCATGGACTTTTTACAGATAAATCTCCTCCTTTCACAGTGTAATATGCATGGAAAACACGTCCCTTTCTCCATATTCTGGACTAGTTATGGCTATTAGTAATAAAGTGATGTCTAAGCCTAACTAGGCACTCCATCAGTAAGTAGTACTAAGTGAGAATAAACATGCATTTTCAGAGAAATCTGCTAATGACTTTTGCTACAACTATAAATCATCAACACACTTTTTACAAAGGCTAAATACTTAGCTTTTCAGCTATATAAACTACTTACATTCTTACATGGGTGATCCTCTCTCACTCCCCATTTCACAACATGCTTTATATTCCACCTACAAGGAAATTTGCATTGTAGCTTTATAAGTCTGCAAGTAACCTTCAGCCACTAACCTTACTGTCTTCTGTCTCTTTAGCTTTTTCTTGGAGGGGTTTCTTCTCTCCAAATTCACAGGTTGATTTTAATGTGAGCTGACAAGAAAGCATTGAGCTCTCTGTTTCAGTAAGTTCCAAAGGTCTTGAAGAATAGGGCTGTGACCCAGTAGTGCCAAGATTTGGTATCGGAAGAGCAGTATGAACAGGCTTTGACCCAACAGCTGGCTGCCTCAGTTTTGAGGCAACCCCAAGTACAGGCATGGCTTCTATAAAAGTATCTTCTTGCTGCCAAAGAAAATGCTTCTAACCTCAGTCTGGTAGGCTCCAACTTTAGTATTTCCAGAACAAATAGTTTAAACAAAACTAGCAGTCATCATGATTCAAAAAAAAAAAAAAAAACTAATAATATAACTTCCAGGAAGAGGCAAAACTTCCCTTCATCTTTAGTTAAGTATCTTTCTTTCTTGCTGGCTTGAATTCTCATATTCTCATCATTCTCTCTCTCTTTCAGCCTCGCTCTCTGTTCAGTGAGTCAGTGTCTATGCAATATTAAATACTCCTTTGGGGAGTACACTTTTCTTGAAGGTAACTGCTACAAAGCTCCTTCTCTAGGATTAAAGAGCTCCTAGTTATATTTTTTTTTCCCTCACACTACAGAGATCTGAGCCTGAGCATTAAGAATAAAAAAGTGGAGAGAAACAAAAGGAAAACTCCTCAGTCCAACTATCAAGGCAGCCAAAAGACCACAATACGGGAAGGACAGGAGTTCTTCCTGACTTCAGAAATAACCAGCCTACATTCTCTCTTTAAAGAAAATCGTATTTCCTCAGTTAAAAAAAAAAAAAAAAGGACACGATTAATGGCCAAAACAAACAGCTGTTAGAAGAACTTTTAGCCCGGAAACAATCTCAGCAATGAAGCTGTTTGTCTGATTTCCAGCTATTTTTCACTACTGACAGCCATGAACCACTGTACTCATTCTGTTTTATCCCATGAAATTAGGTTAAATTCATGCAATAGTGGAACTAGCTAAAGCTGTTAAACCATTCAGCAGACTATACCTGCCTAGGTTATGAAAATATAGTAAATATGGAGAGCAAGACACTAGATAGATAGTAATTATTGTTTCTAAATTTAATAATGATAATGATAAAAATATTCACAGCTAACACGTATGTGGAATGTAGTACATAGCAGTTACCTCACATTTAACCGGTGGGACTGCTCAAGAATAGGCACAACTATTCTCTCCACTATATAGAAAGGATAACTAAGGCTCGGATTCATTTAAGTAATTTGACCCAAGTCATGTAGTTATAAAGTGTAAAAGCCTGTACTATTTAGAGTAATTCAAAAACCACCTTAGAAACAATTTAAAATAACACTGTTATTTGAGCTCTTAAGGTCCAAACTAAAATCCTAAACTATTCCAAATACATATTCAGTGACGATGAACAATGCTGCTTCTATCCATAGAAGTTTTTTACTATAATTGGATTATATTCTATTTCTGGCAAAAGTATGTCTGGATGCTTAACAAAAGCAAGGGAGAAGCTTTTAAGAGACATCTGACATGCATGTATTATTGTCTTTAAAGTAGTTGTATGTAGATAATAGGTATATTGAGAAATTCTTCCACCACTTAGTAAATACCATATTTATGGGATGGTGTCAAGATTTCAATAGCATTACCTATCTAATAATAGTATTTTATTTCATATCCCTCATGTTTCTATTGAAGATTCTAAAAGACACATATTTTACTCCTTTGTTTTCTTTATTTAGAAAATCTCTGGGGGCGCCCATGTGGCTCAGTAGGTTCAGTGTCTGCCTTAGGCTCAGGTTATAATTCCAGGGCCCTTTGATGGAGCCCTGCGTTAGGCTCACGCTCAGCAGGGAGTCTGCTTCTTTCTCTCTGCCTGCCACTCCCTCTGCTTGTGTTTTGTCTCCCTTTCTGTAAAATAAATAAAATCTTTAAAAAAAAATAAAACCTATGTTATATTCACTAAATATTTTAAGAAATAATAATATTGCAAGTGAAGTTCTTAGAAAAACGAATGGACATTTAATGGACATTCAATAAATGGTAGCAATTAGCAGAATCATAACTATTATTGTAGAAAATATCTCCCTATAGTAAATAAATTATCTTCTTTGTCAAGTATTTCCAGCTCTATAAATTATTATGTAATTTTCGGTAAGAAGCAGTAATTTACAGATAAAAGCTAATAACTAAAGTCAAATTTACATGCTGTTTTGATACAAGCACAGAAGCAATTCAAATACGAATTAGAAACCTTTCCAACATTTAAAAAGAAAGTAACTCAAGTGGGATTTACTCAGGGTAAAGTAAGAAACAAATAGAACACATCACTGGGAGTAAGTTACTTTATAATTAACAAACCACTTAACACACCACCCCTTCCAGGGAATATAAAATATTGCAAAGCAGGAGATGTTCATGTTCCTAAAATGGCATTTAAATAGGTGAGAAGGTATATGCATCCTGCAATCTCCACATTGCAAACAAAATGGTGTACCCCAAATATTAGGACTTATGGGGAGAAAAGCTTCTGGGAAGACCACTGAAAACATGCAACTTTGGGATCAGATCACTACCAAAAATTATATTGGTACCCTGGAAGATAAATTGGACCACCCAGGCAAGCAGCTCACCCCGGAGCTTAAAAGCAAACAAATACAAAGCAAACAAAAATACTCCACAATTGATTGGAAGGGCTGGCATTATTTTAATTAGAAATGGCAGGAAAAATCCAATTGGAAGGCAAACTCTGAGCCAATAAATAGGCTTCGGCACAGGGGGCAGTGCAATCTGCAAATATTTAAGAACCACACAAGACAAGGGGTATGCAACTTTGGCCAGGGAGACCCAAATACAGGCATTTGTTTTTTAAATTTTCTTAAAAGAAAACCAAAAGGGCTCCCTTTTGTTGACTACTTAGTATCAAAGTTGAGGGCCTTCTTTTCCTGCCCAAGGTTATACTTCAACTCTGCCTCCTTTGGCCTAGAATACGTCACACATAAAGCTTTGCAACTTCTACATTACACTAATGTGATTCTATTTTCCAATTGTAAATGAGCTACTTGGTATTTTAGAAACATATTCTGGAGCAGAACACACTGTAATTCCTGATACAATAAAATATTTTTTAAAAAAGTATTTACATTCAATAAAATGTCTTTTTACTTTGAAATGCCTTTTGCTTGGGATCCCTGGGTGGCGCAGCGGTTTGGCGCCTGCCTTTGGCCCAGGGCACGATCCTGGAGACCCGGGATCGAATCCCACGTCGGGCTACCGGTGCATGGAGCCTGCTTCTCCCTCTGCCTGTGTCTCTGCCTCCCTCTCTCTCTCTCTCTCTCTCTCTGTGACTATCATAAATAAATAAAAAAAATAAATAAATAAAATAAAAAAAAAAGAAATGCCTTTTGCTTATTGGATAATATCATTTCACGGAAGTACAGGTTGAAAAGAGTTGCCACCGTTAACTAATTCAATGAAATAACATCTACCACCAAAAACAACAAAAACTATTTATTTTGGAGAATTTACTGTGTGCCTGGAGCTGTCATCCAATTCAATCCTAAAAAAAAAAAAAAAATCACCTTTGAATAGGTGATGACAAAGGCCTGGAGAAGTTAAGCAGTAAGCTTAAAGTCACAGAAAAGTAAATTAATTAATTTATTTTAGAGAAAGAGCATGCGCACATGCATGTGCAAATGAGGGCAGGTGTAAAGGGAGAGGGAGAAGGAGGGGGAGAGAATCTCAAGCAGACTCTACAACGAACATGGAGCCCAAGGCACGGCTCAATCTTATGACCCTGAGATCATGGCCTGAGCTGAAGCCAAAACTCAGATGCATAACGGACTGAGCTATCCAAGCACCCCAGAAAATGGGATTTCTCAAACCAAGTTCAACAAACCAACACCTGCAGTGCCTGCTAAACATATAGATTACTGGATTCATCCTAAACCCATCAAGTAGGAATAATGAGAGCAACAGAAAAAAAAAAAAAAAACTGAGAATAGAATTTAAGTAATCTGATTCTCCTATACACTAAAATTTAAGATCTATATTTTAGAGGATTTGTAGATTGACAGTTCAGGGAACAGACTAAAACTGCACTGCCTAGAGTCAAATTCCTGCTTCCTCACTTATTAGCTGAATGAATTTGAAAGTTGCTATGTATCAGTTTCATCATCTGTAAAACAGGAAAAAAATAATTTCATTCCTTTTACAACATTGCTGTGAGAATTAAAGGAAATAAATATATGAAGTCATTAGAACAGAATCTGCCACATAAATGCTCAATAAATGCTGGATCCTAATGTTATATGACACACAAGGACGTTGAGAATTATCAAGCTAAGGTCAAGAAGCATTAAGTGAAAAATCTGGCCAAACTCAAGGGTTAACAGAACTGAATTCAGGGGGGAAATCCAGAAAATTAAAATGAGATAATTTGAGATAATTATTTGTCATTTGCCTGAAATACAACCTTCTAAAGCTAAGCTAGAGTTTCAGGCAATAATAAGACAATTCCAACCTGGCTGAATTTTAACATCAGTGATTTGAAAAATAAATAATAAAACCTCATGAAATGACAATCTATTATTTTTTTTTATTTACTTATGATAGTCACACACACACAGAGAGAGAGAGAGAGAGAGAGAGAGAGAGAGAGAGAGGCAGAGACACAGGCAGAGGGAGAAGCAGGCTCCATGCACGGGGAGCCCGATGTGGGATTCGATCCCGGGTCTCCAGGATCGCGCCCCGGGCCAAAGACAGGCGCCAAACCGCTGCGCCACCCAGGGATCCCAATCTGCTATTATTTATTTACAAGAAATAAAGAGAAAATAACCAACTATCAAACAACACTAAGAACATGTTTATAAAAACAAAACTGAGAATAGAAACATAGATATACAAACTATGATTGGTTAGTCAATTTAGAGGTTTGCTAAAATAAAGATAAGAGAGTCACATTCTCATTTTTAATAGCTTGAAGTAAAAATTACACAAAAAATTCAACAATTCTAAAGAAATAATTCAATGTAACCAGAACTATAGAAATATGGGAAAATGTCCTTTATCCTAAAGAGTTCTCTTGTTGCCAACTCAAGTAACAATGAAGTACTTTCTGAGGTAGTTTTATTTTTTTTTCTAGGATTCCATTTAATTGAAAGTATGTAGTATTTTACCATCCGGCCTTTTTCATCTTGCATAATGCTTTTGAGATTTA